CACTGTAGTACTTCCTGACTGATTTTATCACTTCAAACTATCCATCTACATCTAGTTATCATATATATAAATCAAAAAAAATATTCACAAATCTTAAGTGTTCCAATACTAACTACATAAGCATATGTTTAACACATTTGTTTTTCACAGGTGCGTCTAAAATGAATTTTAATCAATCTCAAACTTAATTCAGGTTGTTTCCTGTGTTTAATTTCTCTTCTCATATCTACCCAATAAAAACTTCATTAATTCCAGGCAATTAAGTAAAATAGTGAAGTTGGATCAGAGTTTGCATTTTAAACACTTTGGGATATTCTTCACTTCCACAAAGTAATCTTTTTCTTAAAAACATGACTCTCTCATTCTACCTTAACACAATTCCTATTTTTATCTCTAGAGAAAAATTTGCTCCTTTAAGAAAGAGAGAGGTGCATGCACAGTGCCATCAAAACTTAAAACTGTGGAACAAGATTGAGCTAACGGTAGCTGCTACTCAGCTCAGACAACTGGCATCATATCTTGCCAGATTGCCTGATGCCTTCTCATGATTACAATGGCTTTATGCATTATGACAGAATCCCACAGACATAATGTGCCTTTCTAGGTACATCACATCAGCAGGTCCATGGTATCTGTCTGCCTCATTAATGCTGATTTTATCTTTAACTACTTGCTAAAGGTGGTGTCTTCCAAGTTTCTCCACTGTAAATTATTATTTTCCTCTTGGTAGTTCATACATATTTAGTGGAAAAGTACTTTGAAATGATGCAAGTACTTGTACTCATCATAATTTAGCACCTACAAATTTAACATCAATTGGTGATTTTTACTACAACTGTTACTGCATTGTTTGTTAAAAGGAAGTTTTCTATTTCTATTTTCCCTTCTACATTTACTCATTGCAATTCTAACATAAGCAAAAGCTGTGCCTTCTCACCCATTTACTTATTCAATTATTGATTTACTAGTAAGAAGACATAGATATTTATATTATTCTATGATTTATAATCTATTGCTGCCATTATTTATTTTGTTGCCAAAATTGTTCCAGCTCTAGTCATTAGGAGCTCCTTTAATTTGGCTCCTATATCATTTTGACATTCTGCCATCAATTTTTGAGTACTTCCCTACTCTCAGCAAAATGTTCCAGGCTCATCTTGTACTTTTGCTGCCCTACATCTGCAACCAACCATTTCTCCAGGAGCCCTGCTTATTTTTATTGGGAAAATTGTATTTAGAAACCAAGATCTGGGCCAAAGGTGTGTTGATTACATCTTTATAACTTCTCTGAGGGGCTCTTAGGAGACAGATCTAGGAAAATACAATATACTACACACACACACACACACACACACACACACACACACACAAGTCAACATACACACACACACACACACACACACACACACACACCTCTGTCCATTTTAATTGTTAACTATATCTCTACTAGAGGCCCGGTGCACGAAATTCGTGCATGGGGCGGGGGGGGGGGGGGGGGCCCCCGGCCCAGCCGGCCCTTGAGGGATGTCCGACTGCCCAGTGGGATCAGGCTTAAACGGGCAGTCGGACATCCCTCTCACAATCCAGGACTGCTGGCTCCCAACCGCTCACCTACCTGCCTGCCTGATTGCCCCTAACTGCTTTTGCCTGCCAGCCTGATCACCCCCTAACCACTCCCTGTCAGTCTGATCGATGCCTAACTGGTCCCCTGCCAGCCCGATTGCCCCTAACTGCCCTCCCCTGCCGGCCCGGTTGCCCCCAACTGCCCTCCCCTGCAGGCTCGGTCGCCCCCAACTGTCCTCTCCTGCAGGCCATCTTGTGGCGGCCATCTTGTGTATTGGAGTGATGATCAATTTGCATACTGGTCGTGACTAATTAGCATATCAGGGCTAATTAGCATAGCCCTCCTTTATTGTGTTGGAGTGGTGGTCAATTTGCATACTGGTCATGACTAATTAGCATATCCGGTCATGACTGTTGAGGGTGTCATGACCAATTTGCATATTACCCTTTTATTAATATAGATTAAAAACCATTAGTGCATACTGATACCATTGAATACCACAAAGTTCATCCCAGCTTTCCCCTGTTGTATATTGTTTTTTAAATATTTTTATTGATTTTTCAAGAGGAAGGGGGAAGGAGATAGAAACATCAATGATGAGAGAAAATCATTGATTGGCTGCCTCCTGCATCTCCCACACAGGGGATTGATTCTGCAACCTGGGCATGTGCCTCGACCAGGAATTGAACCATGACCACACTGATTGATAGGTCAACACTCAATCACTGAGCCATGCTGGCCTGTTGTATATTGTAACTTCTTTCTCCAACAGTGAGAAACCTGGCACTCATCTACAATACATTTACTTATTTGCTCATTCTCAGCATACACAATAAGTAGTTTTAGAATTGACACTCATGCTCTCGAGTACATTATTTGTGCATAGTTAGTTCTTTTTCTCTTGAGTTTTACAGTGTATAATTAAAATACTGTTTTACATAATAACTTATATTAGTCATTTTTTCCCCATCCCCCTGAGGTGTAGTTATAGTTATATTCCATTTTGGGTTCATCCCACATCATAGCTTGATTTCATTCATTCATTCAGTGCTGAAATATTGCCATGATTAAAGAGAACTATGTAAGAATATTTTCTCACAGAAATGAACCTTCCTCATTTTACCCCATTCCCATTTCCATTCTTGACACCAGCTCTTACCTATACTATATATGCTACCAACCTCATTAGTTTTTGGAGTTTACTTCTGATATATCTTTTTGAACAAGTGAGCAAATAATGCATAATTTCTTACACTCCTTTCTTACATGAAATATTCCAAATTGTCAATACTCTTTTGCACTTTACCTTTTCAATTAATAATATATCCTGTAACTATTTCCATATCAATTCTTAGAGGTTTTCCTTATTCTTTGTTTTACAGCTACATAGTATTTCATCATGTGTATGCACCATGGTTTATTTAGTCACCTCTCCTACTAATGGGTATCTTATAATTGCAAACAATCCTATATAATGAAAGCCTAATATGCTAAGTGTCCAGTCGTTTGTTCAACCAATCAACTGCTTGCTATGATGTGCACTGACCACCAGGGGGCAGACGCTCCAACTGGTAGATTAACTAGCTGCTGGGGTCTGGCCAATCAGACTGAGCAAGATGGGCCTGACATGCCCTGGAGCCCTCCTGCAGTCCATCCCTGGCTGGCCAACCTCCTGCGACCCTCCCCTGCCCTGACCATGCACCGGTGTGGTCCCTCAGCCTTGCCTGTACCCTTTCACAATCCAGGACCCCTCGGGGGATGTCGGAGAGCTGGTTTTGGCCCAATCCCGCAGGCCAGGCCAAGGGACCTCACTGGTGCACAAATTCATTCACTGGGCCTCTAGTGCTGTAATAAATAATTGTGTGCATATGTATTTACTAGTGTTGGGAAGACACATCTAGGATGAAAAGTTTGATCTCCTGATGTCTGGTTCAATTCTGTTTTCGATGAAATGATGTTATATCATGGAATAAAGAATACTCTAAAAACTAAGAAAAATATTATATAAATATAGCAAAATAAAACCATGTTAACAGCATTATTTTCTTTCTCTATATAATTATAGCTTATTTTGAGACAAGAAGTTCAAGTCAATAAATATTTGTCCTCAGTTATTAAGTCAGATGGTTAATTTTCAAAATTTCTCCCTTGTGTTTAAATTTTAGCAATTCTAATCACATCTTCATTCATTAAGAATGTTCTGATATTTACTAGTTTTTACTTAAAAACTAAATCCATTATTTGTATAGTTTTTAGTGTAAAAACATTATTATATTATTTTTTCTATTTTTTTAAATATATTTTATTGATTTTCTACAGAGAGGAAGGGAGCGGGAGAGGGATAGAGGGTTAGAAACATCGATTCAGCTGCCTCTTGCACTCCCCCTACTGGGGACGCGCCCGCAACCCAGGTACATGCCCTTCACTGGAATTGAACCTGGGACCCTTCAGTCCACAGGCCTACGCTTCATCCGCTGAGCCAAATTGGCCAGGGCTATTTTTTCTATTTTATTCTTACAGAGACAGGAGATTGAAGTACAAACTATAGCCCTAATTTGGTTCCTTCCACTCCCTAGGTCTGGATGTCAATAGGGTTGGAGGAGAAAAAGAAGATTATGTAATGCCAAGAGTGCTCTCCAGGTGCTCTGACAATGAGTTGGAGGCTTAGGGACTCTCCTCCTTCCCAGTGCGAGGAGTTAGACCAGATTCAGTTTCCTCTGGGATTCTGGGCCCTTGGGGCCCTCAGTTCTCCACATTCTAAATAGCTGATATTTGGAAATGTGCAAAGGGTGCTATACTGTCTGTTTAGGGTCTATCTCTGGTCCTGCCTCTAATTTGGGGTTCAAGGAGCCCAGGCTAGTTCATCAGATTGCCTTGGGATTTGGAATCCAGGAATTAAGGATTCCAAATGCCTTGTCTTTTCCTTCATTATAGCCTACAAAGACCTGTTTAAGCCACCATGAGACTACTGTCAGATCCAACTAAGTCTCAGAAAATTGCTTGCTGGGAATCACCAAAGTTTTGGTGAGATGCTAGTTCTGGTTTCTGCAAGTTTAGCCGATTCAACTGAGCAAATCAATGCAGCAAAAAGAATGTCAGGTCTGCCAAAAGCGACTTCTATATGACTTCAAATATTTGTCTCACCTATTTCACCAACTGTGTCACTAATTACATATAACGCAGAGTCTAATTTCTCAGCAGTTTTGTAGGGATTTTGCTGTCTGGATTGGGTCCAGTTCAGAGTTGCAAACTTGCATCATAACCTCTTCCTGTGGTCACAGGAGTCAGATAACATTTCAAACCACATCACTGGACCCAACCTTCTAAAAATTATAATATTATAGTTAATTTATTTGAACTTAAGCAACCATTAAAAAGGATTTTGTCAAAAACACACAGAATAAACTTCCAAGTGATGTTCTTCTTATGACCTTACCTCCTCGATCTCGGGCAGCTAAACTTTGACCCTTTCTTAATGTAATATCCAATTGGTACATTCCGGGATCAGCCAGAGGGACATCTGCATTACTGGTTCCAGAAGTATTTATTTTCTGGGAAACAAGAAGTATACAAAATATTAAAATAATTATCTTTCTTCTCTTTCCTCCAAAGGGGGGCCATATAGAGTTTAACTCAAACTATAAGAATTAGTCAATATAATTTGTGAATTCACACAGCATCATAATCACCCAGTTCTCTGAAGGTTTTAAAATTCATGAAATTCTTCAGACTCAATAAAAAAATGGCAGTTATAGGAATCCCTGTATTAATTCAAGTTAAAAATAACAAATGCAATATGAAAAACATTTCCCAGGAAATGCCCCACATAATTCAACTAAGAAGAACTAACATAGGAATAGTTTCTGAAGTAAAAATACAATCAATGATGAAAAGAGAATAAAGGTATGCAAGAGCAGTTAATTTCCACATAACTGAGCTGAAAATTAAAATGATTCATTCAGGTGACTTTGTTGACTCCTTTATCTATGCAAAAGGGCTCAACCTGGTGAATTACATACTTTTATTTTGGCCCCAACATGAAATATGATATAATTATATATAAATAAATTCACATAGCATTTTGATAGTATTTGCAAGCAAATAATATAAATATAGAGACAATATCTAGTGCTGTTTTCTATGGAATAAAAGTGCACAAGCTATTGCTAGAACTAAAAATCTTTTCAAGGCTACTTCTACAGAATATCAACAACATACTCTGTTTATTTAATAGTCATTGAGTTACAAACACACTTGAAGAGGCATAACTATCTTTATTAATAAAAGACTAATATGTTAAGTGTTTGGTCATCCGCTCAGCCGTTCAACCAATCAAAGCGTTCTCAACTGCTTGCTATGATGTGCACTGACCACCAGGTGGCAGATGCGCTGACTTGTAGGTTAGCTTGCTGCTGGGGTTGGGCCAATCGGGACTGAGTGAGACAGGCCAGACACGCCCGGGAGCCCTCTTGTGGTCCCTCTCCGGCTGGCCAACCTCCTCCATCCCTCCCTGGACCCAGTTGTGCACTGGTGGGGTCCCTCGGCCTGGCCTGTGCCCTCTCGCAATCTGGGACCCCTCAGGAGATGTTGGGGAGCCAGTTTCGGCCCAATCCCGCAGGCCAGGCTGAAGGACCCCACTGGTGCACGAATTCATGCACTAGGCCTCTAGTATTAAAATAACACAAAAGAAATAAATAGTAAAAATTGTACAGGTCACAGTTTATACTTTCTGTCAATCTGATACAGCAGGAAAAATTACTTTTTCACATGTTGAGATGATTTTAAATTATAAATTTTTTCCAATTAAAAAATAAATGTTCTTTTGTTTTGGAATAGTATGCATGGATAAGGCAAAATATTAGACACCAGACTGATTCTTTCAGTTCCAAAATTTACATGAAATACAACTATAAAGCATCATTTTGTTTGAGGTTTTAAGACCAAGATAAAGAAGCTTTCCTATAGGAGCAATTATCATTTAAAATTAGAACCGTGCAACTCTGATAACTCAAACTCATCATTTCTCCTCTGGTAACAATAAAAAAGAATTCACTCCTTCTCATGATATCTCTGTTTCTATGAATGACAGAATTTTCCCGCAGTTACTCAGGCTAGAAATTGATGAGCTAGCCTTGATTTCTTCATTTCCCTTTCCACCACATTCAAATAGTTGCCAAATTCCATCCACTCCATTTCCATATTACATCCTGCAGTTGCCTTTGCCTTTTATTTCCCTGTTACCACTAATTTGGATCACATCTTCAAACAACAGAGGAGCAAGAGGTAAAATGATTACCTTGCTCTTCTGGCAAACATCTAATTGCCCCACCTCCTTAGGGTTACTTAGGATAATAATATCCTTCCACACTTTTATTTGTCTTCTTATATAAACAAATATACATACATATAGGTTTATTTTTTGTGGTTGAGTTTTCAGTTTTTGTTTGTTGCTAACAAAGAGCATATTTGTCTATTATTTTATAATTTATTTAATTTTAAAATATCATGGCACTTTTCTGGTCTACACATAGATTTATCTACTTTTCTTTTACATACATCATTTTTTCACAGTGTAGGAATACCATAATTTCTTTAATTATCTCCCTACTGGTGAATCTGAGTTGGTTTCACTATATGCCACTACAAAGACTTGGGCTTTTATTTTTTTAGAACATAAATCTTCCCCCCAAAATTTAAATACTTCATACTCCTATTGAAAGTTATGAGTGCCTATTTCCCACGTCCTAGCCAGCATAGGATGTTACTAATTTTCAAGGTTCGTGGGAAAAAACTGTTATCTTCCTTTATATAGATTTCCTGAACTATGATAAGGTGTCTGGAAACTAGTGTAAACAGCAAGAGAGGAACAGCTAGCTGTTCACTGGGCCACACAGAAGATGCCAACCAAGGGCTTCTGAACTACTTTGCAAAGAACAGTTTGTATGTGGGTCCAATTAATAAGCAAAATTAAAATCCAACAAACATTTGTTAAACTTCAAGTATGTTCTAAGGCTTTCATTAGGTTCTTTCATATACATTATTTCAAAAGAAACAAATCCATTAATAAATATTAAATGTAGATAGATTTACTTCTTTCTAAAACCAGAATAAAATCTATAGGAAAGGAGACGTTTTTTAACCCACCCTGCATCCTCCTCTAGTGTTTTGATAGGTATTTTACAGAAAAAATTGAATGCACAGATATCTGTATTTTCTTTGTAGCTTTCATTTCTCTATTCAGTGCTACTTGAAGTCTAAAGTGAATAATTTATAGAGTACCTGGTTTTATATTTTAAAAATATATACATCTAATTTCATTATATTTATTTGGGTGATGTGTTAATAAAATTATACAGGTTTCAAGTGTACAATTCTATAATATATTATCTGTATATTATATGGTGTGTTCACCACCCAAAATCAAGTCTCCCTCCATCACCATATATTTGACCTTTTTTACCCTTATCTACCTTCCCACTTTATGGGCAAGTTAAGAAATTTCAAAGGTAATTCTAACTATACTAGATTTTTCACTTTTGAAAAATTTAGAATTTAACATCTTGTTAAACGATAACTTCACTGAATTTACATAAATTGGCTTTTTAAAGCCTGAATAATATTCCATTTGTGGCCTGGCTGGCATGGTTCAGTGGTTGAGTGTCACCCTATAAATCAGGAGGTCATGGTTTGATTCCCAGGCAGGGCACATGCCCAGATTGCAGGCTCGATCCCCAGTGTGGGGCATGCAGGAGGTGGCTGATCAATGATTCTCTCTCATCATTGATGTTTCCCTCTCTTTCTCCCCCCCCCTCTCCCTCCCTCTCTGAAATCAATAAAAATATTTTTTTAAAAAATATTCCATTTGTGTGTGTATTTATGTGTGCATCACATTTTATTTGACTATTCATCTGATGACAGCCATTTACTTTTAGGTTGTTTCCATATCTTGGCTTTGTGACTAATGCTGTAATGAATAGCAATGCAGATATCTCTTCAAGGTACTGATTTAATTTCCTTTGGTTAAATGCTGCTTTGCCCTTCTTGTTCTCCATGTCTTCCTACCTACTTTTCAAGGGCCATTTCATCAGCACTTTACATGCTTGTGTTTTATTTTTGTCCATTATCACATCCTATCACAAATTTATATTGGCCATGTTAGATTGTAAACTTTTAAAATCAGGGAATGGAGTTTTTAAGGATCAACTCAACAGAAATTGTGATAGAGGCTATGAGGACAGAAATATGCCTTTAAGGACAAATAATCTAGCTGAGTAGAAACATACATGGGGATCTGTAACAAAGTTGGCTATTCTGTGGGCAGTTTGTTAACTTCTGTACTGAAGTAAGGCATCCAACCTGTTTTAGCACCTTCTTTTGTGAGGAACCTAAGTATAACCTTAGAATCCTCCTCAATACAATGCTCTATCTGTGGTAGGCAAACAGCGGCTCGAGAGCCACATGTGGCTCTTTGGCCCCTTGAGTGTGGCTCTTCCTAAGCCTTAGGAGTACCCTAATTAAGTTAATAACAATGTCCTACCTATATAGTTTAACTTTAAAAAATTTGGCTCTCAAAAGAAATTTCAATCGTTGTACTGTTGATATTTGGCTCTTGTTGACTAATGAGTTTGCTGACCACTGCTCTAGGCTGCCATTACCAACTGATCAACATTGGCACTTAAAGTGGAACTTCATCCACTCAAAAGTTATAAGGACAGACTGTGCTATAAGTTCATAGGAGAACAGGAAAGACAAATTATTATGGGAAAAGAATCTGAGGACCTCTCTAGAGATGACAACAGAGCAGGGTGTGAAAATGTGAATTTTGACAGGTGAAGATTTGAAATAAGAAAGGATGAGACAATCAGCATGAGCCAAATGGTGAGTAGTCACCAGCGGTGCATCACTGGCATGTGTGACAAATAAAGTGAAAAGAATGACTGATGCCCACTGATGCCAGGCTGAGGAGAGTTCTTGTGGGCAACAGGACAGCATCACAGGCCTTTGGAGAGAGAAGCAATAAAACCAGGCCTCGTTTAACACACATTTATTGCCTATCTTTCATCTTTCCTGTTCTGGACTAAGTGCTTATATTACATAGATGAACAAAACCAGGCCTTTTCTCTCTGTGGGATGGAAGAGATCAGAGAAATCTTGTGGATATAGAAATTATTTGAAAAGTTTTATTATAACAGTCCAGTTTAAGTCATAAGGGCCTCATCTGTCAGTGAGAATGGAAATAAAAGATGAATTAGAAAGATATTGAGGCGATTCAATCAGCTGAATTTGTCAACTGACAGGATGTGAGAGAGAGGGGGGATGGATACATGAGTTACTCAGAAGTTTGAGCTGCGCTCCTGGGAGAATGGTAATGTCCACAGTAGAAAGCACCACTGTGTCTAGTTCCAAGGATATTGCCAACTCCATAAAAGAAGGAAATCAAGAACTTAAGTAGATCTAGAGAGGCATCTCTCCTCAGGCTCACTGAATGGTTCCAATAAGAAATCTGGTAGGCCAGTTATAGAGAGATACTAGAAATGCATATATTTTTCAT